TGTGAGCATGTAGGCAGTAAATGAAAAATGTTGAACCTCTAAAAAGAATTTGTATGATTCTATTTTTACTCTACTTACAGTAGCTGAAAAATAAATAAGATGAGAATCTTTATAGGTACTTTTATTCAGCGTCCTTACTAATTTAAGCTCAGCTTTTGAGACATTGAAGGTATAGAGATGTACCAGAATGTAGTAAGAATGACTGGCATTAGTTATGTGAGGCGACTGGAAATTGTAATGGAGCTAGACCATTCAGCCTATCAAAATACGTTTAATCATTCAGTTAGATCATGGTTGATTTACACCACATGACCACATACATCTGTCTTGGTTCCATAAGCCTGGAGGCATCGCAATCAACTCAGTTAAAATTTTCATTGGCCCAGGATCAAGTGTTCTGTGACATTACCTTTAGTGACCTTCTTCTAACTTTATGGTCAAATCCCCTTGTTCTAGTCTCCACCAGAACAAATTGTATTTACCTCCTGGACAAAGAGAAACCATTTAATTGGTTTGAAAATCTCTGTTAGACTGACCCTTTAACTGTCTATGCTCAGAATAAAAATCTATACAATTTGCCTTCATAATCTAACTTTTTGGGACCCAGAATATTTGTGAATGTCCACAGCACTTATTTCCTCACCGGATTGATAGTTATTTCTAATTCCATGGGCTGTCTTTCAGTGTTACTTTTAGATTCTGCAGAATATTTTTGAATGCCTTCAAGTTCAATTTGATAAAATCCACCACTGATTATGATCCCAGCTAATGTCCTTAAGGGACAAGTTCGATCCCAGATTGAAAACTGTCATGATGGGTCATATTTTCTTTTAGTTTTGACTTTAATGAGTTTGTCTCTCAGTGGGACATAAGCACCCAATGTTGCGGATTTATTCTTAAAGTTTTATGAAGCAAAAGAAATCAAGATGAATAGGCTAAATTATTTGCATATAAGATTTCTTAAAAAATATATTTTTGAAGCATGTGGTAGAAACACAATCCCATTAATGCCAAAAAGACCTGTTTTATAATGCACAAAAGCACCCCTTGAGCAGTACTCAAGAAATCTCAACACCTCGATTTTAGGCTTAAACCTAACTCTAGTTTCCGTCTAGACAATCTAGCTTTTTTCCTGGTGCTCTCGTACATCTGAGTTTAAATGTTCTCTGTTTCAAATAACCTCTTCAGAGCTTTATCCGAACACCACCAATTTGGGATTATTACTAAACTCCTTACTCTGAGACAGTCTAGTTTTACTGTCTTCTTAGGAGCACTACTTTATATATACATCTTCTTCAAGAACAACTACAAAATTCCCCAAAACTGCAGATGGAAGGGAAAAGTTTCCCAAGTTATAGGTATTTCTCTTGGGCTTAGTTTGTAGAATTGTCTAAAAATCTTTTGATGTACTGTTGTTTTCATTGCTCAGTTGTAAGCCCTCCTAAAGTAATAAACTTTTAGAATTAATGAATTTTATTCCAAGATATGTTTTTTTCACTATCACCATGGCCTGCACACATACCTACAAGTTAATCATTTCAGTCATCAATCACACATAATCATTTGTCACTCATTCAAAAATTGAAGCTTGAGTGATTAAAAATTTCCAAACCAATCTGTTACAGACTGCTTTATACTTAGATTCTTAGACCTATTTTAATAACCTAGTCAAAGATATTATAACACACCATCTTCTGGGGCAAGTGGGATTGAATTGGGCTTCCTAGCTCAGAGGTAGAAACATTACCACTGCATAACAAATGCCTTAGAACTCTTCAAGTCAACCAGTTGAGACCTGTCATGACACTCTGACCTTCTGGAGCAGGTGGGATTTTAATCAATGTCTTGTTCCTCAGGCGTAGAGACACTACATTACCAGTGTGCCATTAGAAACTTTGTTGCCACCTTGGAGCTGTTTTTAATCCCTGCTTTGGGTAAGGTATGACCTACATCTTGATAAGGGGTTCTTGGACTAGATAGTTACCAGAGATATTATAATCAACCTGTTCAGAGATGTTATTACTGTTTGAGTAGGTGTGTCTCGAACCCAGGCCTCCTGGATCAGAGGTAGGGGTGCTACCATTGCACCACAAAAACACTGGTTACCTTCTTAGAAGTTAACTTTGAATATAACTGCATCTCCATGCAAGTTGTGGTTTTTTTTTTTTTTTTTTTGTTTAAGTTTGCCTCATTTCCTTTACCTTCCCTGCAGCAGAATTTGAGACTGAACCTAACAGTTCTCCTCTTTATCTCCTGGGCTTTTGGAAAAAAAAAATGGAGTGTTCAATTTTGCATGAAACCATTCCTGAGTCAAGAGTTTTCCAGAGCATCATGACTAGTTCAGTAGATTAGTATAGTCTCTTAAGCAGCGTAGACACAACGGGCAAAATGGCAGCAGACTGGGAGTGAAGGCTCATCTCCATTATCCAGGTCTTGCTATCAATTGCTTGTTTATATTTTAGGCTGTCTTTACCTCATGCTCACTAGCTATGGTTTCATGCCAACTCCTAGCACTTCTAAATGTATTTACTCATATACACTCCATACAGAGCCAATGAACGCTATAATAATAAAGTGTGAGTCAGGTAAAATATCCATTCATAATTCTTTCTACGATTGTTAATTGCATGATAATCAGGTTTCTATCTCCCATGAGAGGCTTAATTTTGACACGTGCAGAGAAGATTGACAAACTTTTTTTTGTGAACTATTTTATCAATGGTTCAATATTCATTTGCATAAGAACGTGAGTCAAGTGAATATAGCTTCTGTTCTAGATACTTTAAATACTTGGTTTGTTGATGTGTTTTATAAAGGTAATGGTTTTTTTGTATTTAAAAATTGAATGCATACTTCAGCAGGTCAACACATGGTCTTTTTACTTCAAAGTTTATTGAATCTATATAGGAATTTACAATGGACATGGAAGTGCCATGCATCAAGTGAGGAGGTGGGGGTTTTGAGATTCCTGCATGTATGAGGGCTCATTCGTGTTAGGGGGTCATAACTGCTACTTGTCCTCTGACCCCATGTCAATTTAAGAGTTGGTAGAGAAGGGACATGTGTATGACTTTGACCTTGCCAATAGGATTCGTAAATACAGACAATGGCTCAAGATTTCCGAGGTGTGTGAAACAGTGGAGAAACTGAGTTGATTCCATTAACGTTGTGTATGGTTAGGAGATGGTTCTCTCTTCTTTTTTTAATTGTCCCCAAGTCTTTCAGAAATTAATCTGGTCCAGTGCATCAGACAAAAGATGCAAGAATCAAACAAATCCCTGGCCTGATATGACTGAGTTATGAAGATAAACACTGAGTGATAAAGCAGATGTGATCCATGTGTTTAAGGTGATTGAAAGAATAACACCCTACATGTTTTGGTGCTTTGAAGAACTAGTACATCCATGCCAGTTGTGGGGGCTGGTGGCAAGGTAGAATTTGTAGATGTTTGTGACAGTGAACATTGTGGAGCATGCGATCTTGCAAGGATGTGATGAATTTTTCATGATCATGCCAAGACCTGTTGGGTTTGCCTGTTCCTAATTTTTTGAAAGGAACAAGAGGAATTTTCAACAGCAGAACATGCCTTTAATTGATGACTGTTCTTTGAGTTTGTGTATGGAAAGAAATGAGGTGATTGGTGCACTGGCATGAAATTTGTCTATGGTTAGGAGCTGACAAATACAGGTATGATTTTAGTTTCTTGCTTCTGTTGGAATGTTTGGACATGCCTGGTGTTAATACACTACTTCAAGACAATTAAAGCCTCTTCTTCATATAAAGAAGTTGCCATAGTGCAAAAAAATTTGCTTATTAATAGTGTAAATATTCTTGCCTCCCTCTCGTAATGATGCACGGTATATAATACAGCCCAGTGTAAGTAACTTGAAGCATGACAGAACATGATTAGTGGCTTAATTATAGGCTTTGTACTAGTGTCTGTGTGCTACTATTGTTCCTTCTCAAGAACAGAATTGAGAATTGGGTAGCTAGGAGTATGGCAAGGCAGGAACCTAATCAAAAGGTTCAGAGATAAGCTGATAACACTAGGTATTTTGCATGCCCTTTTTAATTCTGAGGGATAGATGTAGCTTTTCATCAAATAACTGTCTAGCTCCTAGCAACTTACTAATCCATTCATCCGTCTATGAAACATTTGCCAATTTCTTGCTATATATCCTTGATTCATGATTACTTATGGTCTAATAATCATTCTTAAATTTATCAACTTGTCATGAAATATGATTTCTTTCTGCATGTGGTTCACCTTGTCAAGTAAATGACCAACATTGGAGTTTTCAAAATAATTGATTTTCATATCAATGTGAGCACTCTCTCTAATTTAGTTTGCAAATGGAAGCTGCAATTTCACACACCATCCTCACCTGAAATATTGCAGCTGTGCAGGTCACCTGCTCTCTCGCTTGTATCCAATGCAAACAGCCATATTAGCACGTTATACAGCTCTGGGAGACTGGGGATGTTGTGCTGCTGTGTTGGCCTTGTATCTACCTATCTCCTAATGTGCCCGGTCACTTGCCACACAAACCTGCTGGATCAGTGGCTGTAAGCCAGACTGAGGGATGCATGTACAAGTAAAAGTGGTCAAATATTTTGCACAAAACTCCTCAAGTGTTGGCATGCAAGAATGCCAGACTGAGGACAATGACTGGAATATGATCTAGCAGAAGTAAACAGGTGTGTTTCTTGAATTCATTCTTTTGAATGACTGGGATTGTATTGAGAAATTTTGCATGCAGCTGATTTGGTATTGGACTCAAAATGAGTTGTTTGTAGAAAGACTTCATAGACTGAATTAGTTTTCCTCATCCTGTCCTCTAGAGTTGTATCAGACTGAGAACCTACTACCTAACAATGGGTCTAGATAACAAATATCTGCTGAGCTGCATTTCTTTATGAAATAAAATGCTGTGTTTTTAGTTTTTGTGACGTGACATTATTTGCTGCAGCCTAAGTACTTTCCACTTTTGTTTTTTCAGCAGAGGAAAGAAGCACAGCATGATCCTGCGTACACAACTCTCAGTCCGGGTCCATGCTTGTATTGGTAAGTCAAATCCTTACCTAGTAATGAGAAGGTGAGTGGGCTTCAGGCTAGAACATGAACAAAATGGCCATGAACTGAAGAACAGTGAAAGTGAAACTCAGTGTTTGACTGATTATGTCTGGGATATCTAGGCTTTGCATTAATTGGATGTATACATGTTAAAGGCACATTTTAAGAGCACAGTTCAAACTGAGTGTTAAACTATCCCTTGTCCTGACTATAAATGTGCATTGGATTTCATTCGATTAAAATCTGTTATGATATAGAGTTCCAAAATAGACCGTGGCAACATATCTTGCAAGGGCTATGGCCCATCACTCTATTTTAGTTTTAAGAAAAGCCTTCATTTTACAACTTTTAAAAAGTGATGCTGTTGTACCTAATGCTCCAAGTGAAAAATAGACCTTGTGACCACAACTTCAGTTTATTCTGCTGTACATGGAGCTGTTGAATTATTGCAGCTTGCTGCATTCACAGCTTTTGTGCACAGAAGTTAACACCAATGTGTGACTAGCTGGAGGCTTACAGCCAACAAGGCAGACAGTGCCCATTGTACTACTGTTGACTTTGGCCCTCCTAGAACAGAGCTCATTGTTTCAAGTGAGGGTAAGATTGTTTCTATGTCAGAGCCAATGGCTTGTAGAGTTATCCCAGCATCATGTTGGCATTGCTGTGTTTGTGCTTCCATATAAAAGTGCAGCCTCTTAAATGGACAGCTTAGATAACCAAATCGTGAATGTTGATGCTTCTCTGAATACTCTGAAAAGGACACAGAGGAGAACGTGCAACTGATATTTGTCATGAGCTTAGGGAATGAACAGTCCCTATATCCTGAATGGAAGATGGTCAAGTGCAGAATCCCTTAAGGTGAATATAAATTGCCAAGTTGGAAGGTCAGCAGAATGTTATTTTCACATTATGGAAATAAATTTTAGAGGTACTAAAATGAATTGAAGTTTTTTTTAATTAAAAGAAACTTCATGCATTAGGATTGTCAAATTTTAGTTTGATTTAGTCTAGGCCAAGTGTGTACAGGATGTGGATCCAAGAGGTCCAGTAGTCTGAGAGAGCTAATTGGGACTTGGGTCTGAAGGCTCCCTAGCCCAAGCACAAGGTTTTTTGGCCCTGGCCCTGCCCCTGTCCCTGACTGCAGCAATTTTGTGGGGGGGAGAAATGTTTATAATGTACACCTTGGTCAATGATAGCCATCTTTACATACTTCCACAGCTCCTGTATGGGACAATTAAGCAATGTCTTGGATAGTTACTGGAAATTATTGCTCGGTGGCACTACAAACAAAATTAGTCAAGATATGTTCCCTGCAATGTATAGAGGAAAGAACAGTAATGTATTCACAGGTGGATAGAAATCTGACCATTCTGGATATTCTGAAAATTCCTGTAGGTCATGGTAAAGGTCTGAAGTCCCAGTTCGTTACAAGGGTGAAAATGTGGGTAGAATAGTTTCTGGCTCACTGCTAAATTCTCAGACATAAGTGAGCAACAGTTCAGAATCATGATTGTTCTGGTGCAAAAAGAGGCTGTTCAGCCCATTGTGTCTGCATGACTCTTCTGCCTTTTTCCTATCCATTTTATGTTCATAATCATCTAATGCCCTCTTGAATGAACCCATCTCTCAAATTTGTAGACTGTGCATTCCAAGCCCTAATTAAATGTGTGAAAGTTGTTCTTTCTTGCATCTCATGGCCTTTGCAAATTACTTTAAATATATGGCTTCTCATTTTGAAGCCTTCCACAAATGGGAATCATTTCTCCCTAACTACTTTTGTCCAGACCCTCCACAATTTTGAAAACTTCTATCAATTCTCCTCTGTCTTCCCCTTCAAGGAAAACAGTCCCGATTTCTCCAATCAATCTTGGTAACTGAAGTTTCTCATCCCTGGAACTATTTTCTCTAACCACCTTTTTTAAACACTTTTTTTTTCTCATGCATTTATGTCCATCCTGAAGTGTGTTGAACAAAACTGAATTCCACCAAGTGTCTTGTACGAGTTCAGCACAAACTCCATGGCCTTGTACTCAATGTCCCTATGAATAAAGCCTAGAATATTGCATGTTTTATTAACTACTTTCTGTTTCGTTATCCTGCACCTTTTTCAGTGACTTGCACCTCTTGTCTACAGTCTCAAATCTTTCTCCACTCAGTGCATTTTATTTAAACATAACTTTTCCTTTTTAAAAAAAGGAATGGCAGAGCTTTGGATATGAATTTATATTAGTGACCTTTTTTTGTCTGGAAGTTTACATCTGATTTGAAGTCTTGTAACTCAAGATCTGCATTAACTCCAGAGGCAAGCTTCATTATGTTTTATGTTTTATGATTTATAACCAAGTTGAGAACTTTCAAATCCAATATATAAATCACATCTGCATGCAAGCTTCTAGGATTTGCAAACATGATGGCATGAATTATGCAAATAAAGTGTTTCATTTTGTGGGGCTGAACATTTCTATTCTGCCATTGGTTAGATTTTATGCACTTGCTGTGAACCAGAACATTTCTTTTGTATATTTGTGACATGATTTAGGGATTCCTAGATTGCATTGCACACCAATGACAGCCACCCTCTTGTGAGTAAATCACACAGGACTATTGCAGATGAGATAATCGAATCCAAGCTGAAGCAAAATTACTGCAAGGTTTTTAGTTGGTTGAACAAAAGGTGAAATAAGTAGTAATCTGAGTTTTAAATGAATTGCCTTTTCAGGGTCATGTTTAATAAAATGGTGTTTTGTTTCAATGGGCTTGATATCTACTTGCTCAATTTCATAAGCTTCAAGCCTGATTTGACATGTGCATATATGCCACCTGGTAACATGCTCCTTTTTCTCTCTGAATGATGATGACAATGCTCAAACTACAAAAATCTCCTGGCGAGTGTATAGAAGCCTGGTCTTTGAATATTTACAATGTTCTTCATTGATTAGTTCAGGCTTGATTTGTATCAATGAGTGTCTCATGTCCTTTGTTAGTTAAAAGGCAGTTAGCTTAGGGAGGTCACATCTTCTGAACTATTCTTTGGACTAACCATGAGGCCAGCTTGAAACTAGTGAGTAAAATATTGGGTGAATTTTCATCTACAAATAATCCCAATTTTTCTTAAGAACAAGGATGATAAATGAAAGGCTTTTCATTATTTACCTCTTCCCTCCCTATCTTTTCACGTTACTTGTGTTTTCAACTCCCTACTCAATTATTCAAGGTGAAGTTGTCCCAAATCTCTGTTCAATCTTATTAACATAAGCTCTAATATAAAATCTCTCTTGTGCACTAATGTGATTGTGCGGTCAATTTGACTGTGTAATCCATTATTAGAATTGCCATCTAGTCGATCAGACTCCATATAAAGTTATGCTTCAGTTCTTTAATAAGAAACCAAAAGAGTGAATCTTCAAAGGCTTCTATAGCAACAGGGCGTTGCCAATGGCTTGCCCCAGATTCTGAGATCGATGCGATCTGCTTCCTGTTGTCAACCAAGATCACTGACCAACTGCAAGATGTGCTCGAGTCTAGAAATAACTCCCTCATGCACAGCAGTGTCTCTGGTCCCGTCAGAACACCTTTTTTATTTAATAACGATACAGCTTGAATAAATGCACTGAAAAAGAATGTGTAGTTTTCCACTGTTACAGGCATTGATGTGTCACTGACTAAACATGGGAATTACCAGTATTAGCTTTAGTTGCAGTTTAGTTTTGCTTGTTTGTCCAGGCTGCAACTTAATGAATCCTCTGTCAGTCAGATCCATATTCTTTTGATTTTTTTTGATCAGAGATCTTTGTGTTTGCCCTGAGGAATTTGCACAAATTGAAAGTATATTTTTAACTGATTTTAATGAAGTATAATATATTAAAGGTGACTGAGTTCCTACTTTGCCTGCAGCTGCGTAGGGAAGAATCTAGGAACTGATTCTATTGCAAGAAAGGGGGAAAATTATAACATAATAGCATAATCATCTTGTAAAATGAGCAATGCTTAGGATATTATAGACTTTTAATCTTCAGAATTTCTATTGATTAAAATGCACTTTAAATTAATAACACTTTAATGACTGGTGTCCCCCATCTCATTGAATTTTGTTGAGTGCATAGAAGGAGCTGGCCCATTTTATAAAAACTTGATATTTTGAAGTAAGCATCAAGCAGACGTTTACTCTGACCTTGGTATCTTGCCAAAGTGAAGTGGGAAAGTTTAATGCTGACCATATTTAGTTTTCAAATCCGTTTAGGACTCTAGGCCACTAAGATCTAAATGAAATCTGTTTAAAAGAAGTGTTCAGGATTGGTATCTGGAAACGTCTTGACAAAATGATTGCAGAATGCTTTACCAAATACAGTTGGGGAAATTGGGAATTATGTAATACCAAACATTTTGGGCTTCAGTGGAAGAATGAGCTAGATGTAAATATGAAATTTAGTAAAGTGGGGAGGATATTCAAAAAATCGTAGAATAATTTATTGGTAGGGAAATGAAGTTGAAGCCACAATCTGATTTTATTGAATGGTGAAGCAAGTTCCAAGTGGCTGGTCTATTATTAACACAAGCATTATTGGTATTACTTCTGTGTACTCTTACACTATTTTACTACTTAGTTTTAGTATGGAGACTGGGAGCTTTTGAATTCAGCAGATTTACAGGGCAAGGCACTCCTCCAAAGCTGCATTTTTCTTTTTGTTATACACCCCAGCCCAGATTTGGTGCACGCTGTAGCGTTTTTGTAATTTTGTTGGCTAATGTAGTTTTAGTCTGATTTTATTGCAGTTGCAAATCCCACCACAACTTGGAGGGGGTGGGGTGGGGTGGTTAGTGCTGCTGCCTGTCAGCACCAAGGGACCTGGGTTTGATTCCACCCTTGGGCGACTGTCTGTCTGTGTGGTGTTTAAACATTTCTCCGTGTGTCTGTGGGTTTTCTCCCACAGTCCAAAGATGTACAAGTTTGGTGGATTGGCCAAGAAAATTTCACCATAGTATCCAGGGAT